AAAAAAGATACGGGGCTCTGAAGCGGTTCACTGGTTCATTCTTATGCAGGATCCTGACAGATCCCCCAACGATCTTGTGAGGATGTAGATTCCGTGTATCTTCAGGTCAGGAGGCTGAGAGGGAACAAACTGGTCCGAGGACCTGTTACTCCAGTCTCTGTGGACCCGCCCCCACCGTGAGCAAGGTCAGGAAACGTGAGCAGGTGGAATTCTCTTCCTCCACTCCATGTTTTCCCTGATTCCAACCTCAGCACCAATTTGGGGGGAAAACCGTCTGCTGGAGGCTCTTGTTTTAATTGCACTGATTCCCTCGTAGCTTAAACTGCAGATAAAATCACCCAACGACAAACAATGGCGTTTCCATCTTTGCCTCTTCAGCACAGAGGGCATCCCTGACAGAGCCATGCCTTCACTTGATGTTTCTTGAATTAACGAGGTTGTGTGTTCAAGAACCACCGCCCATCCCCGGGGACGACCATCCCGCTGTGGGGACCTGGATGGCACGCGGCGCTCGGAAAGCTGCTGAGTTGCACCGAAATTCCGACCCACTTTCAATCAATCCACAGTTAATTTTGCATGTATATAAAGACGAGACTAATGAAGGGCAGGAGAAGCTGGTTTAACGATTCGGGGGACTCGCTGAAGAGAGCATGATTGCCCTCAGAATTGAGAACAGAAGCACAAAAGGAAGGCAGTGAAGAAATCAGAGGATCTTCAAAATCGCTTCAGGGCTGGCTGCTTAGCTAAAGCTGGAGACAGAGGCAAGAGAGAAGGATGCCCAGAACTAGCGCCATCTGTCGGAGTCATCGGGTGCTGCTGTAGCAGACACACCACAAGCAGAGAGAGGGCTCTGACAGAAGCTCACCTCTCACAGCCTCAGGGGGGCTACAAGCCCAAAGCCAAGGCGCCAGCTCCAGGAGCAGGCTTCCTCTCCCACCAGCTCCTCTAGGGAGCGTCCTTATCGTCAATCTTCCCTGTGTCTAGCAGGTTCTCAGCCCAGGGACCCTGACTACACAGGATGGGGAGATTCCAGCCCTGCTTTTTTGGCAATAAGAGGCCCTTCCCATCTGCTTAAGCTCTTTCATATGTCAAAGGAGCTCAACTCAAGCTACAACCTACTCCTGCAGATATATACACCCTACCTACCTTTTTAGCCTAACAGCCTCTAATCCAGAGCCCTAGTGGTACAGTGTGTAACATGTCAGTCTACTAACTATAAGGTTGTTGGTTCAAATCCACCAGGCACTCGGTGGCAGAAAGGTGGGCAGTCTCCTCCCAAGAAGATTTACAGCCTCAGAAACCTAGTGAAGGGTCTCTCTGAGTGGACAGCAGTGAGTCTGAGTGTGGGCACTATTTTTTTTTTAATGTCATAAAGGTTGGGATTTACAATACCTAAGGTAATATCAAGAAAACAAAGATTCTCACCACTGGGCCAATTGGCAGCATCAGTATGGATGGCGAAGAGATTGAGATAGTTAACAGTTTTCGTTTACTTGGTTCCACAGTCAACACTCTTGGTAACAGCAGCCAGGAAATCAGGAGAAAAAGTGCATTGGGAAAGTCAGCTGTGAGGGACCTCTCAAGAGTACTGAAGAGCAACGACGTCAGGCTGGAGACTAAGGTGTGCCTGATCCGGGCTATAGTCTTCGCAATTACGTGCTATGCATCAGAGAGTTGGACAGTGAATAGGGATGATAGACAAAGAATTGATGCCTTTTAGCTGTGGTGCTAGAGAAGAGTGTTGAATATATCATGGACTGCTAGGAGAACAAACAAGTTTGTCCTGGAGAGGGTAAAGCCAGAATGCTCCCTGGAGTCAAGGATTCTGAAGCTTCGTCTGACATACTTTGGGCATGTTGCAAGGAGAGACTGGTCCTTGAAAAGGGACATCATGCTTGGGAGAGTGGAGGGATGGAGCAGAAGAGGAAGACCTTCGATGAGATGGATCGATTCTGTGAGTGGAGTGGTGGGAATGAACGCATTTGAGACAGCTAGGTTGGCACAGGATAGAACGGCATTTAGGGCTCTTGTACATAGGATCGCTATGAGTCGCAAACAACTCGATGGCACATAACAACAACAACAAAGGTAAGTACATCAGATCACAAAATGGAGAGCAAGTAAAGACCACTGGTCAGGCTGACACATATTGGAGGACACCATTCAATCCAAGACTTCTTCCTACAGAAGGTCAAGTCAGGGTATGACTGAGCTACATGCATAGGAACTACAGAAGCAGGTGAGAAAGAGCCTTCAGGAAAACAGGACTATCACAAGGGAAGTCACTACCGAGCTGAAGCAGGGGCCTCAGACGTGAAGCCACCCTTGAGTTACCCAGAACTCAGCAAGGTAACCAGAAGGCAGCAGCTCAAGGCACACGGGCCACGGGGTGCTGCTCTGTTAACCCAAAGGCGGTGAGTCTCCGGGGCTTCAAATCTGCCAGCAGCTACTCAGGAGAAAGATAGCCATCCCCTCTCGTTATAATTCATAGGCGGGAAAACCCAACTGAGGGCTGCCAGGAGTCATAACCCACTCCAGACTCAGGGAGTGTGACGAGGGGATGGCTTCAGGCCTTTGAGAACTGCCTATCAGTTATGAAAAGTGCTTTTCTGATTTATGAAAATGTCATGTGTCTGAGCATTTCCTGCTTAAGCCTGGCATTCAGAGCCCTGCAGATACAGTGTTACTAATGCAGATACTAAGTTACCAGGCAAAGCCTAAATACCAAATGACTCTGTAACATTCCTAAACTACAGAACACAGGGTAAGAAAGAGCTAGAGGTGAGCCTCAGAAAGCCCAGGGAGGTCACTTGCGGGCCAGGTCCACTCGAGAGCAGAGCGGGGGCCTGCTGTGGGTTTGTTCACACGCATTCACATTCTTTTGCAGAGAGAAGAGAAATACCTTTAAACTGCTTAATCATGTTCTGGTGGTTTTCAATGGCTTCCTTCAAGATCATTTCCGGCTGGTCCATCTTCCACCGCCATTCAGTGCCCACCGGATTGGTGTGGTGCCTAGGAAGAAGACAATAACAGGTCATCAATCACGAGGCTCTCCACAAAATCTGGGCTGTGGCCACCCAGCACTCAGCGGTGTAGACACAGCAGTGTTTTAAGCCATGATACCTGGCAAGGGCGGATGGACAGAGGGGTCACTGAGCACTAGTCGGCCATCTCTCCAGCTCCATGCTGACGGTCCACCCTCCTTCACCTGATCACACACAGGACACACACATACACAAGGCAGGCCCATCAGTGCCATCCAAGTGAACAGCGCAGAGAAAGAATAGGGAGGCGGAATGCTCCTGCACTGGGGTTCTCAACAGAAGTCAAGTTCAAATCCACCAGCAGCTCCATGGGTGAAAGACAGGCAGTCTCCAGTGGGATCTGCAGCCTCGGAAAGCCAACGGAGGGGCAGCTGGGGGTGGGTCTAACTCGACAGCAATGAGCTATGTTATTTAGCTTCTACCAGATCATATAAACAACGGGAGGGGAGGGGGTGGTGCAGACATAGTCATAATGTATGAGGCTGCTGACCGAGAGGCCTGCAGTTCAAATCCACCGGTCACTCATGGCAGAAGGATGGGAATATACCAGAAAGATGTCCAGCCTTGGAAAGCCGAGGGAGCACAGCTATCAAACACGACCAGCTCCCTGGTAGTGGGTCTGTTTCAGATTTGGGTCGCCACAAAACAAACTACAAATCACATTCAAGTCAAATGTTTTGAAGGTAAATGAGGGAGGGCCGGTTACTGTCAGCAGTACAAGGTCAGAGGAAGATCAAAACAGTGACCCCAAAGCAGCAGGTGAGGTGGTCTTAGTGGGGGGAGGGGAAGACAAATGAGGCAATCTTCAGTCAAGGAGAAAGGATCAAAATGAAAACACTAGGGATCTAAGGAAGGTAAGAACTGAGGAAACGTTTGTGGACAGAAGGCTTCTTAGCAACGACTTTCACAACAAAACGGCCTTAAAGTCAGCTTTGTCCTTCTGCTCCCTACACAAGGAGCTGAGTTGACACCTTAGAGCACCTGCTTCTACTTCTAAGCCCGCGTGCACTCTGATGTGAATGGACGACCTGGGGAGGGGGGCAAGGTGCAGAGCACACAGGGAGCCCTGGGTGAGTGTGCATGTGTGCATCTACACACACACTCATCTTTACACGTCTCTTCATATGCATGCATGGTAATTTCTCTGCACAGCTGCAGAACCTTCCAGACCATCACAGCGGCTGCATCCTTTCAAATTCCCTCACCCAGGCAGTGTCTGAGGTCCCAGCTTCTCCACATCCTCCCCAAGACTCGAGACCCCATCTTTTTAATTACAGCTAATCCTCCCCAGTCCACAGGGTCCACATCTGTGGCTCCACCAAGCATGGAGGAAAAGGGAAAAGGCAAGGAAGTGGTTGACGTAATCACTCAGGAGCTAAGAGGGTCGGTTACATTGTGCCGTAAGCTTACAGTGTAAACCACATTGTACTATAACTAACGCAGCAATTATTTAAAGCACAAAGGAGGCTGTGGAGCTAACAAATATGAGGGACTTGAGCTTCTGGCGATTTGAGTGTGGGAGGGACTGGAGAAAAGGATGGGCAGTGTCCTCACATTGAGACTGGCAGCTTGGAAACCCAATGGAGGGACGCCATGAGGCCGAAGTGAATGGATGGTAGCCACTGAGTGTAGGTTGCTATTCTTTGATGCCATCAAGCCACATGTCTCCATGTGACAGAGCAAATCTGTGCCGAGGCTTTCCAGATGGCAACCTTGACAGGTACACATTCCCAAATCTTTTCTCCCCACAAGTGTGCTAAATGGATTTGAACTGCCAAACTTCCAGTTAGTAGTCAAGCACACTATCAAGGTTCCTCTTAAATATCATACTATCACTGAAAAACAATTTAATAAACAGACTCTTACTCATAGGGTTCAGCCTCGCAGCAACCCATGAAGAAGGTATACAGTTGGCCCCTAAATAAAATGAGGGTCAGGGGGTGCCAACCTCTCACTTGGTCAGAAAGCCAAATAAATTGACAGCTGACCCTTGAACAGCACTGTTTGAACAGCACGAAATTGAGCGTTTTGAAGATTCACTTAAGACACCATGTGATGTTAAGTCATCCCCACATGAGGGACACCAGAGCTCATACAAAAGCAAGGGGGAACCCCAACGCCTGTGTCAGTGGGACGTGGGGTGCACACCGTGTTCCTCAAGGGTCAGCGGTGGTGGTTTCATTTCACAGTCAGGAAACTGAGCCTCGGAGAGTTTTTTTAAGACACTGATCTGTCAAAGAGAACAGGAACATGTTTCTGTAAGCATTGAACTAAATCGTCACTACCACTTTTGGGCATTTTTGCTGCAGTCTTCTTTTCTTTCCCCTTGTTGTGAACCGTCGAACTGGATCCACCTGGCACAGGAGGAGATTGCCCCTCCTTCTCCAAGAGAAGCATCTGGTGGATTTAAACTGTGCGCCTTCAGGACTGCAGTGCAGCTTCTTGCCATTAGGCCACCAGAGCTCCCTTGACGTATGCTGGGGCTTTTTATCCCCCTGAATTATTCTTAAATGAAACATATGGTGACTTCTAATTTTATTTTATTCCTTCTTTTCAGTAAGCAAGCATCATTTTGAATTCTAGTTTGAAAAGACAGTACAATAGTGCTATACTTCTGTATCGGAATTCACGGTTAATGGAACACCTCGTTTTATTTATTCTTCTTAAAAAAATCATTAATGAATCTAAGTTTATTGTTTGCCTTTTTGTAAATTAGAATGAAATTTTTTTTTCCAAAAAGCCGAAGGATTATGCACTATTGGCTATAATTAACATCTATAAGAGGATTGTCTACTGAAACTTGTTACTTCCTTTGAATCTACCAAAAACAATTAGGTTGGGAAACAATTTTTTTTCAACTCACAGTGACTCTCAGTTGGTACATGACACTGTAAATCTTCACAGGCAGGAAGGTCCATCTTTCCCCACGGAGCAGCGGGCAGACTTGAACCAACATTCTTTCCTTTGGTGAGCAGCCAACAATGGACACCAGGCTCCTTAGCACACATGGACTTTTTATTGCATGGGAGGCCAGGACCCCAAACCCTCGAGCTGTTCTAGGGTCAATCGTATTTAAGAAAAAGGTGCTATTGGTGACAGTGTCACTTGACTTGTGGTGGTCACTGCCCCCTCACCTGGGGATCATCACCTCAGCACCACTCACAACAGGGTGACACTGCCCCTAGCTGAGGACGGTGTCCTGTCAGCAGCCCCGTCTACATGCCAGAACCACACACCCTTGGCCCCCGCTGTGGCAAGTCAAAGGGTCTCTGTCTGTTGTCACCTTTCCGGGTAGATGCGTGAGAAGGCATGATTTTACCACCAACCCCCCAGCTGAAGCCCAAAAATACACTCTGCAACTTTCCATCTGACCCTGATCAGTAGAAAAGGGGACGCAAACAAGGAACGGAGCTGTGAGGGTGAGATTCGGCGCTCTTTTTAAAGAGCTGTTATTTTTAACAATTTACATTACCTACATGAGAAAAGGAGCCATAATTTTGGATTTTGAAAGGCGGGTTCCATCTTGTTTTGGGTGAAGGTCGAGTGTGGACTGTTTGGTTGTTTTTATTTCACTCCAGCTGGGAGTGAGCTGACTGGATTTGCTGAATCGGGCTAATAAAGAGCTGTTGGCTGGAAGCCTCTTGTTTAAGAGTCAATCAGGGCCTGGGCACAGGTCTGGATATTGAAAAGCTAGTCAGTCCTGGTTTTTAATTGTGTTTAGAAGGAACAGTATTCTAAGTAGTACAGCACTGGTCTGTCAATTTGCTCTACTGAGGTAACCTGGGGTTGCTGTGATGCTGAAAGCTGTGCCACTGGTGTGTCAAATGCCATCAAGGTCAACCATGGTGGAGAGTGTTTGGTGAAGCTCCCAGATTAAGACAGGGTTGGAAGCAGGAGTGGCATCCACTTCCTAAACAACATGCCTACAGAAACTCTACAGAATAGGATTCAGGTCTTTTGTTCACAGGGTCACTACGAGTCGTGCTTAACTTGGCAGCATTTAACAAAAACATCATCATGTGTGAAAAAGAGCCATACTACTCAGTAATTAAAGCACTAGGCTGTTAACCAAAAGGTCAGATGTTCAATCCACCAGCTGCTCCATGGGAGAAAAATGTAGCAGTCTGCATGCATGAAGACTCAACATCCCCTAAAAAAAAGAAATCAAACCCACTGCTGCTAAGCGGGTTCCAACTTCTACCAACGTCCCATCGAGTTTCCAGGACTGTAAATCTTAACAGGAAGAGACTGCTCATCTTGCCTGCAGAGGCCACTGGTGGACTGGTCAGCAGGTCAGCACGTAACACGCTGTGCTGCGAGGGCTCCATGCAACCTTGAAAACGTCGTGGGGCAGTTCTACAGTCACGCGGGGGCAGAACAGACAGCACAGATGGGTTTGCCTTTGTCTTTGGGGAGGTGGAAATACACGCAGATTAAAAATTATACGATGCCTGTGCTTTCTATTAAAATAGTAAGAACTGAGGTAGACAAGAAGTCCTGCACTGTATCAGTTTAGCTGATAACCAGCAAGTCAGAAGCTCAAACCTACCCTGCAGCGCTGAAGGAGAAAACCTTGCTGACATTCCTCCATAAAAATCACTGCCAAGAAAACCTAAAGGAGCAGGTCTCATGTCACACGAGAGTCAGAAGGGACTGAGCGGCAGCACCGAATGACCACAGCGTAGGCAGGCGGACCACAACTGGGTACGTGCCGGCAGACAGGAAGCTTCATTCTACTCTTCTCTCCATGTAAAATCTTCATCAATTCAACTCTTCTCTCCTTTAGAAACAGAGTCTGTGTCCGTCTCAGAAGTCTCTCTCAGTCTAGCTGGAAGCATCCCAGCTTATGGACCAGGCTGGTGTTGAAGGAGGTGAGTGGATGTGAGTAGAAAGGAGGGGGCTGGACTGTGCCTGGGGCATGAGATAGTTGGAACACCAACACAAGAGCCCAGGAATGAAAATGTGATGGACAGAGGAAAAGACGACATGCAACCCCAGGGTGCTGCGGGAACAGAGACCACACAAGCAGAGCTGAGAAAGGAGAGGCCTGGGACAAGGAGGAAGGTCAGCCTGGCCGCTGGACACAGAGGAGGTCCTGGTGCAGAGAGCCATCAGCATCAGACGAGACTAGAGAACTGTGCTATTGTGATAAGATTTCATACAGAAAGGACAGCACATGCCATCAGTAAACAGTGTTGAGACAAGTTACCCATGTAGAAAAATAAGAGTGTGCCTTACTTCATACCCCACACAGAAAACCAAACCCAAACCCACTGTGAGTCCATTCCGACTCTCTGGACCCTACAGGGCAGAGCAGAACTGCCCCCCAGGGCTTCCAAGACTGTCATGTCTATGAGAGTAAGCTGCCATATCTTTCTCCTGTAGAGTGGCTAGTGGGCTCGAACCACTAACCCTTTGGTTAGCAGCCTAATGCTTAATCCACAGAACCACTAGGGCTCCTTTCCATCAGACATGTATTCTAGATGCTTTAAAGACTTACTGAGGAAATATCATGGTCCCATCTGTTATAATTAAATATAAATATCTTTGCCACTACAGTGTGGGATTTTTAAATAGAGTATACATACTACGAAACAGAAAGTATTAACATTTTCAATAAAGCTTTTCAATAAACCTTAAAATTTCGGTATGAAAAGTGATATAATGGAGCCTAAATGCAAATGGTAGGAGTGAAATCAGAAAAAACAGTGGAGCACTGCCCGGGTTACACAATGGTTAAGCATTCAAGTGCTAAAACAGAAGGCTGGCAGTTCAAATCCACTAAATCTCAAATAATGTGTGTTAGTATGTACATAACTTGTAATGGAAGACTAGGCTTCTAAGAATATATTTGTATTCAAAATTAGTAACACTCCTTGCACCCTTGGCTGTACCAAGCCAGAGGTCAGTGCATCCTCTCCTATCCTCTCCCTTCTGAGATGTGCACTCAATTTCTAATAGCTAATCACGTTCCGGAGTCCTTCTAGTCCTACCAAAATGCCCCCTGGCCTTAATAAGCTTTCTCTTTCACTTGTTTAAAAAAACCCAAAAACCTCTCCAAGTCTAATTTACAAATCATACTCAGAATAAATATTTCTCCGGCCCTCAAGTTTACATAGAAGTCATAACAAAAATTATTTACAATTAAATAATAATTATTACTAATCAAAATCTAACAGATACAGTTAATGAAATGCATAACCTTAAAGACTTGCAGAAGACTGAATAATAATGAGTTCACTGTCTAGCTTAAATTAGAAAAAGAATAGAGGGAGAAACAGTAGTAGAGAAAAAAAAAGAATAAAGAATAGAAGCTAGAAACGGAAAACAAGATAAAATGGAGTGGACCCACAAAGCTAAATTCTATTTCTTCAACAAGACTTTATAGGTTCACAAACTCCCTGAGAAATCTGTTCAAGGAAAAAAACCAACCAAAAAAACCCACAACCAAATGCATAAAAACATATTATTGTTGGTTGCCTTTGAGTTGAGCATGACTCATAGCGACACAGTGAACAAAAGGCCTGAGCCTTTTTCTAACTATCCACATTTATCAAAGTTCATGGAGTCTCCAGAGCCTTGTTGTTTAGGAAGTGGATGCCACTCCTGCTTCCCGAACAACATATCAATATATCAAGTAAAAAAACAAAACAAAACACCATTATCAAGTCAGACAAGGGAAATTAATTACAGAAACTACAGTGCTCGAGGTGAGCATGAGGGCAGAGCTGGGCAGACCAGGTACAGACCTCGGACGAGTTCCCACTCGGTGGCCACAAACCTCCGGCCCCACTCACCGCCAGCAGAAGACACACTTGTTGGCGCAGGCCAAGCTCGGCGTGGTCTCCATGCAGCGATGGCTCTCGATGCCATAAAACGTGTGTTTGTAGCAGCCTCCTCTCCCCCGGAGCATGGACTGTGAAGAGCAGAAAACAAACGGCAATTTGAATAAAACCCTCAAAGCAAAGAAACAAACCACCATCATCTTTAACAAGAAACCTTGTGTTTCATGACCGTAAAGACCCCTGCCGGCGCCCGCCTGATTCAGATAAATGAACATTATGGCCTTCCAGTGCTTCGCCAGTGCTTCGATTGTCTAAGACCCAGCGACTCATTAACTCTAAAAGCTCTGTGGGGAGGGCGGCTGATGCTCTGATTTGCTAACTCAACCTTTTCCAATAATATCAGTACAATAACATATCCAGTCAGTCCGCTGTAACATGGCTGGGTTAGGATGACCGTCCGTCCACTTTCGGGGGTTTGGCTACGTCATGAGCAGTATGAACGGTAATCAACGGGATACACAGCACATCACTTGCTGCTCTCATCATACTAGCAAGTTTGTATGTAGTATTGCCAGTCTCCAAAGACAAAGATCACATTTTTTATAATGGGTTGATGTAATTAATGACATAAATCTACACAAATTAATGCTATAAAACATGTCCATGAATGAATATATTAAAAGGCAAGATGGGGGAGCTCTGGTGGCCTAGTGGCAAGAAACTGCACTGCAATCCCAGAGGAACACGGTTCGAATCCACCAGACGCTCTGCCGGAGAAGGAGGCGCAATATCCTCCTGTACCAGTCAGATCTGATTTGACGGTACACGCACACAAAATAATAATTAAAAAAAAAAAGGCAAGATGGTTTGTCAACCTTCATGCAAATAAAAATACATGTTTTTTAAAAGGCCAAATTTCTAAGATTCATACATCAGAATGGGAGGAAGCCTCATCAGCCACCTGGATGCCAATGACAAACACTTGTCCGCTGGCTGAAAATGAAGAGGGCTGCCATCAGAGACAGGATGGTCAGTACAGCCGTTTAGAGAGAGTGGACATCTGGAGAGATTTCACCCTGGCCTCACAGGAGCTGACCTTGTGCGGACATGTCTACCTGAAGTCATCCATGCACTGAGATTCTGCGTGGGAGCTGGGAGCTCAATTCAGGTCGATCAACTAGAACCCTCAGGCCAAGCCCAGCCCAGGGTCCGCTTCAGTAAATCATGGAAGCTGGAAGACAAGCCATGCCCATTCCTTTACAGACCGTGTCTGGATCGTCTGTGCCATCACAGCGGAGGGAATGGGAGGGGGACCCCAGAACCCACAGACTAAAGCATTACTCTCTGGTCCTTTAAGAAAAGTCTTAGCAAGCCTTGATTCAGGTATCATACCCCAAAGCAAAACACATTCCAATTAGATTAACAGGCAGACCATCTAAAAGTCTAAACAAAGACAGAAATGACGGCTTCCCTCATCTCTGGACTAGAAATAATCAGAAAGCTTAAAATGTGGACAAAAATATACACTGTAAATATGTGGTAAATAAGTTGTTATGTGTTATGTGCCGTCGAGTTGTCTATGACTCATAGCAACCCTATGTACAACAGCCCTAAACCTGCCAGTTTCATTATCTCTGACACACTTACCCCCATTACCCCAGTCACTGAATCAATCCATCTCATTGAGGGTCTTCCTCTCCTGCGCTGTCCCTCCACACTCCCAACGATGATGTCCCTCTCTATGGACTGGTCCTGCCTTGCAACATGTCCAAAGTATGTCAGACAAAGCGTCAGAATCCTTGCCTCCGACGAGCAGCCTGGTTTCACCCTCTCCAGGGTAAACCTGTTCGTTCTCTTAGCAGTCCATCGTCAATACTCTTCTCCAGCACCACAGCTCAGAGGCATCAACTCTCCTTCTATCTTTCCTAGTCATTGTCCAGCTCTCTAATGCATAGCAAGTAACTGCAAAGACCATGGCCTGTATCAGGTACACCTTAGTCTCCAGAATGACATCATTGCTCTTCAGTACTTTGGTGAAGTCTCTGACAGCAGACCTTCCCATTGCAATATGTCTTTTAATTTCCTAGCTGCTGGTGTCAAGAGTGTTGATTGTGGAGCCAAGCAAACTAAAGCTGTTTACAATCTCAATCTGTAAATATGTATCAATTGAAAAAATATAAAACCTAAAGTATATCTCAAAGCAATCATATGCTCACCAGAATGCTGACTGTTTTTTTTAAGTGGAAAACAACAAATGTTGGCAAGGTGATAGAGAAACTGGAAACTTCATTGCTTGCTGGTGAGAATGTAAAATAGTTGTTTCAACAGCAAAGTTTGGAGGAGACTAAAAAAGTACAGAATTTCTAGATGATGGGCAAATCCACCCTTAGTGCGTACCCAGAAGAACTGCAAGCAGGGACACAATGGGTTCATCTCCCCCATGGACACTGCAGCGCTATGCACAACAGCCAACCGATACAAACAATCCAAGTATCCACCAACCAGCGAACAGACAATGGACAGACAGACAAAACATACACGCTATGGCATACTATGCAGCCAGGAAAAGGAATGAAGTTCTGATTCACGCTACCAGATGGATGAACCTTGAAAACAGGACACCGGGTAAAAGAAGCCAGAAAAGAATAAATACTGAGCCTACTTATGGGAACTGTCTAGGATAGGGAAGTACACACAGACCAAAGCTCCTAGCCTGGGAGGAGGGCGAACAGGGGAGCTACTATCCAAGAGGATTGTGTTATTATTTAGGATGATGAAAAAATTTTGGAAGAAAGATAGTGAAAATGGTTGCATGTTGTTGTTGTGGTGGAGGTTATATGCCATGGGTAAAAATAATTAATAAGACTGAATTGTACACTGAAAAAGAATCAAAATGGCAAATTTTTAGGTCAAGTAGTAAGAAAAAAAAATTAAGACAGAAAAATGAACTAGCAGAACATTTTTCACAAAAGATTATCCCACTCTTTGTTAATCATTTTAACAAAGTGTTCCCAGAACAATTCTAAGAAAAAAGACCACTGATAAACCCTTTGAAATGGTGATGTCATTTCTAGGACTTTGATCTAAGAAAATAATCTAAATGCAAATAAAACTTCCTGCAATAACATGTTTGTTACATAATTATAATAATGAAAGAAACAGAGAAACAACCTCCTCATCCCTCGGTGAATGGCAAATTAATTTATGGCACATTCATCTATAATTAGGATATCATTTAAACAAATACAAAAATTTTAAACAAGGGAAAGTCAGGTCTTTTTAGGAAAAGGCTATGAAATTGTGTACATTATGATTTTAAATATCTACAAACATATGGGAAGGTAACTAGAAAGCCATTCCTATAGGGTGGAATATAAAGTTTATTTATTTCTCAGTTAGTGTTCAGTCAATCTTCTTTACCAAAACTATGATTCAAAAGCATCAGTTCCTGCATAGTCCTTATTCTCAGTCCAGCTTTCACAGGCACAGAAGGCAAATGAAAACAGCATGGCTTAGTGCTCCGAGTGACATGCAGGAATTACAGGCCATAAGTTAAAGTTCTAAAGAGCAAGGATGTCACTTCAGTAAAGAGTAAAACAGGCCTATCTCAAGGCATGGTATTTCCAACTGCTTCATTTGGATGAGAAAGTTGGACAATGAATATAAGGAAGACAGAGAACAAACCACTCCAAAAGACAATGGTTAACTCCCCAACCTAAATACTTCTCATAGCTTGGGTGGTACAAATGGTGAATGCAACTGGCTGCTGACCAACAAGTCAGAGGTTCCAGGCCACCCAGGCGCACCACAGAAGAGAGGTCTGCTGATCTCCATCCCCAAAATCAGCCACTGAAAACCTCAGGGAGCACAGTTCCATCTGGACGGCAGTCAGTGTGGGTAGGAGGGAGAGTGAGTTAGTGAGTGTGAGTCTGTGTGTGTGTGTGAGAGAGAGAGAGAGAGAGCGAGCGAGCACGAGCTGGCTAGCTGGATACGCATTCCTCTCCATGTGGCATGGGCTGAGTTGACTCACAAAGGCCTCACTCTGTGAGCCGGTGGGTGGTACCAATGCTTTGGTGATTCTTCACTTCCTTCTCTTTCCCCAGCAGTCTAGACCAGGCTTCAAGCATGGTCGTGGGGTACACAGAGGAAACACCCCAACAGACATCAGCCTCCAGGGCCAAACACTATCACTTCTGCTTGCATCACATTAACTAAGATCACAGTGACTCAAAGGGGTTGTTACCGATTGAACTCTGTCCCCAAAAAATATGTGTCAATTTGGCTAAGCCACGATTCTCCTCCACTTTGTGATCTGATGTAATTCTCCTGTGTGTCGTCAATCCTTGCCTCTATGAGGCTAATGAGGAAGGACAAGAGGAGATTACATAATAGAGGCAGGAAGTAATCCAGAGGATTTGATTGTATTTTTAACCAATCTCTTCTAAGACAGAAATGTAAACAGAGATCAGAGGGACCCAGAAAGAAGAGCTGGGAGCAGAGCACGCCCTTTGGACCTCAAGTTCCCGCTCTGGGGGCCTCTTACACGAGGCCAAGACACATGGAGACGTGCAAGGAATGGGAGGTACACGGATGCTGAGACACACCTTTCCCCCAGAACCAACACAGGGAGAAAGCCTGGAGCTGGTGCTCTCAAGTCAGGATTCCAACCTAAATTTCAAGATAGAGTAAGTATTCTGTTTGTTAAAGCCATCCACTGTGGAATTTCTCATGTAGCAGGAACAAGGTAAGCCGGACAGGATGGGCAGACTTAGAGTCCGATGGAGGAAAGGTCAGCCAGCTCGTGAGCACCAGGAGCCTCGGTCAGAGGGGTCAGCACTCAACAACCTGATGCCACACCCACACTCATCCTTTTCGAAGAGCTTTCACACACTTCAAACAGCCAGAAGCTCCAGAGCAGCCTCCAACTTACAGGAAGGTTCACCCAAAACCACACTGGGTGATCAGGACCTGGTCTGCAAGTGGATGAGACAAGTATCGTGAGATAGTCAGTCTCACCATCCTTGTCTCTAAGGAGCATCCTGGCTGCGCTCCCCCTAAGACACCTGTGTTTGTCTTTCAGCACTCCACAGAGTAGTCATTACTCTACCCCAGTACCCCAACACAAAGGCATCGACTCTTCTATCGTCCTTAGTCCACCATCCAACTTTCAAATACAAGCAAATAACTGAAAAGACCACGGCTTGAATCAGGTAGACCGGAGTCTAATCTCCTTGCTCTTCAGTACTCTGGAGGGCTCCCCAGCAGCAGATCTGTCTTTTTTTTTTGCTTGCTTTCAAACAGTGCTTTTTATTCTCTCATTCTGTCAGATCTGTCTTTTTATTTCTTGACTGCTGGTACCAAGGTGGTGACTGTGAATCCACCATGTAAGATTAAATCATTGACAACTTCAATCTTTTCTCCATCTGTCATGATTTTCCTCCCCATTGGCCCAGTGAGGACGTAAAGGAAATAGCCTATATTTTAACTGGGGTGGGGGCATGTGAGTTTCACATGTCAGCATTCACTGAACTCATTGAAAAAAATTCATCCAAAATCTAGCCATTTTCTTGAATGTAAAGTATTATTTTTAAAGCTAGGGGGTAGGAAAATCATCGCCTGCATGTAATGACGTTGGTGTTGCATTTAACAGCCCTATGAAAACTGCATAAAACAGAAATAGCGTTTGATTTTAAAAAGCCAGTACCAACAATGAATGAATGGAAATCCAAAATCTCTGTAAATGTTCATTAAAATTAATAAAATTTTTTT